GATAATGGATCGATTTTGTGAGGGTAGTTAACCCCAGCCACCCCTAAATGAGAAAAAACATAATATTTTTAAATGTACTATAAGTGTATTTAATGCCGCCAAAATCGACAGGGTAGTTTTTAAATTATTCCAAAAAAGTAGGAGTAGTTTTCTACTGCCTCTACTGGGATTGAATATACTGTGTTCTCTAATACAACAAATAATAAGTTAATTATTACAAAACACGTTTTCAAATATTCCGCCATTTTAGTTACACTGCACTTATTGAACTTAATCGAAAGCAGGTGCAATAAAATCTGCACTAACTTGCACCGGCTGCACTAAATTGCACTGCACCTGGCCCAACGAACAGTATGAGTGCAACTGCATTAAACTGCACTATCCCCAACGAACACACAACATCTGCACTAAACTGCATAGTGCAAGTGAGTGCAAGTAGTGCAGTCCCAACGAACAAAGCTTTAATCGAAAGCAGGTGCAACAAAATCTGCACTAACTTGCACCGGCTGCACTAAATTGCACAGCACCTGGCCCAACGAACAGTATGAGTGCAACTGCACTAAACTGCACTTCTTTATACGTTAAGTAGTACTTTTGAAAGAACTAATAAGGGTTAGTAGTTTGGTATAGAAAATATATTTCGCTAATAATTGAAAGAAATAAAAAATAATAATAATAATTGATGAATACTAAAAAAACGCTACTAAAAAAACATTCTGCGATAATTTCATTTTCCATGAGTATTTTGCTGACAATCTCCTGTTCGTCCATTTCAAATATTATACACTTTTTTTATAAAAATCTGTTCGTTGGGACCACGGTTTATATACTTTTCTGACCTGCACTAAGTTGACATGACATTGCACTGACTTACACTTCATTGCACTATGACGTCATACGAGTGCCATGTCGTGCAGAGTAGTGCAGTCCCAACGAACAAAGCTCTTAATCGAAAGTAGGTGCAACAAAATCTGCACTAACTTGCACTAAATTGCACTGCACATGGCCCCACGAACAGTATAGCTTTGTTCGTTGGGACTGCACTACTTGCACTCACTTGCACTATGCAATTTAGTGCAGATGTTGTGTGTTCGTTGGGGATAGTGCAGTTTAGTGCAGTTGCACTCATACTATGATGATTTATTTTCAATGTTTTGAATACGATGCAACTGCATGGCAAAAATGTGCAATGCAATTACGACAAAGAAAGACATTGGTGCGCAATGTGATCCCACATAATCTGGGAACTCCGAAAACAGTTGTCCACAAGATTTCTCAAGAGAATAATATCTCCACCACGTTGTTTTACATCAGGCCTTAACAGATACCGATTATGATAACAGACTGAACTATTACCATTGACTTTTAAATATGATTTGGGCAAATCCAAACCTTTTATCACAAATGCTATGGATGCATGAAGCATCTGTCCACAAGCTGATGTAAACTTGCATAATATGCATTCTTGGTTCGAGCAAAACCCACATTGCTTTCACCCCTTTATCTATTGGGTAGACTAAACGACCTGACTTTTCAAGAAAAACCAATAACCAGGGAAAATATGACAAAACACTAAATACCAGTAGAAACGTGTCCAGGGCCGAGACTTAAGCAGCGCTTTTTTTTCGTCGAAACTAGATTAAATAAATGCATCGAGGTTTATGGAAGGCATTTCGCACATTAGTGAGTTATTTTTGCCAAAAATTTAAGTTATTCTAAGTGTTTTGGTTTATTTTGTTTTATTATCATTGTTGATGTTTCATTGATCCGTTGGCTTTTCAACACGCCTCAAAAGTAGTTTTGAAGCAGTTCTAAGCTTGGATAAAGTGTGAAGGAAGGTTCTAGATAATAAAATTTTTGTTCTCTCTTATTTGTTTCCTAAGGTAACTTGATCCGATTAAGATATACGAATTTTTAACATTTTCTTTTATAATTCGAGAATGGATGGAGATATCGAGATGCGGTTTTCACTAATATTTAGCAAATTTTATGGTGATTAACGGTCTGTGAAGTAAATAGTACCGTTCCATTTAACTTTTTTTCAAAAATCACAAAAATATGTAACCGCTGCAGATAACGCCCTCTAGCTTATTTGTTTTAAACCAAGCGGTCTTACTGAAAATATCTTTTAAAAGAGCATGAAATGCTCTTTCAAACAAGACCAAAAATATTCAAATCGGTTGAATGGTCCAGGAGATATTAAAATGTAAACATTTGAAAACGCATTGGCCTCCCCCTCCCTTATTATGACAGATATGAAAAATATTGCAAAACAAAAGCGATGCGGTATTATCCAAGCTACTAAATGATGTTGTCAAAGTTATAGCTCATCGTCTAACTTTCTGAGATAGCGGGAATTTTATGTTTCTCTATGGCAGTTACGCCCCCTAGCGGTCGAATTACGAACTTCAAAATAATTTCCAGCTATTTCTCTTGCCCACTTTGCTTATAAGGTTTTTTTTCCCAAACCTCTAGGCCTTACCGTTGTTGAGATACAGCCGCTCCGTACGCTTAACGGTACACTCTGTACTTAATGGCACGATAGTCTATATTTACGTCGCTAGAGAACTATGCTACATAGACAAACATATTTCGACCTTTTTGTCGCCTGTGTTTCTCTTGTTAATTTATTTTTTCTTCATAAGTGTCAACTACTGATGCTCTTAGCTTAAACGGTAGGAAAATGAAATTTGGGGAATATGTTTAACTTATAATAGGGCACGTTTTCACCCTATTTGTACTTTCAATCTACACCTTTTACATTTTTGCTAAAATTCTTTTTATGTAGATGATAAATACATTAGAAAAATTTTAAATAGGTAGATGAAAATATCCTAATACTTTTTACCTCTCTAAAATTTTTCCAAAAACGACGAGAAGAAAAATAATAAAGCAAATAACAATTGTTAAGCTGTAGGGTTGTTAATCGTAAGTTGGAATGAATTTTTAATGAAAATATATTAGTAGGCGTTGGTAGGCGTTGCAATCTTTGTCAGAAATATTTTAGATGTTTAAATGTCAGTGTTTCTCTTACTATTATTGTTTTATTTAAAATTTTGAAATATCGAGTGAATGAGCGTAAATGCGATAGAACTTTATTCAAAAATTAATTTGAAAAATAGTAATAATAGTAAAAAAACACTGACATTTAAATGTCAAAAATATTTCTGAAAGATTAATTATTATATCGAAAGATAAAAACAAACACGACAAATTAATAAAGAAACTGAAAAACTATTTTAAAATGAAAGTGTGGGAACAACCAAAAACATTTCTTGGGCAAAACATAAAATTAAGTCTAAGTGATGTAAAACGAAGTGATATCAAGAGTTAAACAAAGACTTTTCATATCAAGAAGCAGTAGACAGTTTACTATACTTAACTAACAAAACCAGACCAGACATAAGTTACGCTGTAAACTTTACTTCTAAATTATAGGGATCCAGAGATAAACTAGTTGTTAGAACTTATTTATTGTTTTGTAAAACTTCGTTTCTGTTTACCGGGGGTGTGTTAAGTTGTACATTGTAAAAAATATAACAAACCACTCAGTTGTTACGTTCTGTCAAAGCAACATCCTATTGAAAGCTTAATAAAAAAATAACCCAACATATTCAAATCTTTCTGTTTTTTTTTCTATTCATTTAAATTCTTTTTTTTAGGTTGAATACAAACCGGAAACACGGCCAGGAGTTTCAAACTTGGTCCTTATGCACTCAGCGGTTACAGGAAAACCAATTGAAACTATAATTAACGATGCCAAAGGGTTATCAACAGCCGAATACAAACATATTGTAGCATCAGAAGTGAATGATCACTTATCACCGATTAGAGAGAAATATTATGAATATTTGGATAATCCGCAGCATTTACTTGATGTTTTAGAAAGTGGAAGAAGTATTGTAACACCAATAGCAGAAGAAACACTTCGAGATGTTAGAAAAGCTTTAGGTGTTGGATTTAATGTAAATAATAAACAGATGTTAAGTGTAAATATATGAAATATTTCATAAAAATAAACTTAATTTATCTTCTTCTCCTGAACCTTATACGTGATGGCGTCGGATAAATCTTATTTCTACGTTTAATTCCAATATTACTCGAAATATAAGCAACTTCCGGTTTGAAATGTCAATGTCATTTTGACATATATTATTCTTAATTTTCAATAAAATGTCCTAATATTTGTCATAAAAACAAATATATAAGCTTTGTTTGGTATCTTGCACTAACGTACACCAGTGCACACTTTTTCTTAAAAATAGTGTTTGGTAGACTGGTGCAAACAAGTGTAGATAGTGCCGCCGCGTTTGGTAAGCGATTGAGTTTTAAAAGTGCAGACACTTTTCACACCGACTCGCCGGCAAGTGTAGGAAGTGTAGTGTAAGTCGACATAACCTTTAAGACGTATTTAGTTTTTTGAAAGTGTCAAAGTNGAAACAGAAGCTCGGTCGTAAAATAAATACGGAAACGAAATATACAAAAAAGTAAAAGGGCTAAAGGAGAATGTTACAAGTCCACATCAACGGTGAAGCTTGTGCCAGAAAGAGAGCAAGGGATGACTGCAAGTGCAGAAAACGATGCGTTAGAAATTTTTCGGAAGAGGAAAAACTAAAAATTATAACGGCTTTCAATAACCTGGCAGACCAGGACAAACAGATACACGGACAAAGAGAGAGAAAAAAAAGATTCATATTTATCCAGTTTAATAACCGTAAAAGCGGTTGTTAGACAGTAAAAAAAAGAAATAAAAATATTAATAAGAAAACCATACTTACAAATACAAGGTAGGTATTACTAAATTTATAATTTTTTATTCCATTTTGACAGATTAAACTGTATTATGATCAGACGTCATATATACATGTTTGTATTAAGATACGAATTCATATAGGAGGTTGTCTAACATCAACGATGATATGCAGTTTACATGATTTATCTAAACTGTGCTTTGTACAATAAATTTCAATGTCTTTACGCCACGTGAATTAAACATTGGGATTAAACCAGTAACGATATCGAGGTTTGCAAAACTGTTGTATGCGTTCTTCATGGTATTCTTAAGAAACTTAGAACGCATAGGAAAACATCTTTGTACCAACGCAATACACGTTCAAGATACACGGGGTCGAGACTCCAACAGACCTTATATTATTACGGATGATTTAAAAGAACATGTGCATGCGCATATCAACAGTTTCCCAAAATGTTTTCACTATACCCGCATCAGAACCACAAAATATTACCTATCCAGCGATTTAAACATATCAATAATGTACAATATACCTTCAAAAATACGAACCGGATGCACCGACTAAAACAAGATAATCGTCCATACAAACCACAAATTTAATATCGTATGATTTCTGTAGATTTCCGAGAAAATTTTAACATAAAGTTTGGAATGGCGCGCAAAGACACTTGCAAAACATGTGATATCTTAAATAATAAGATAGAGAATGCAGATACAGAAGAAGAAAAAAAAACGTTGAAGCGCTGCGCTGCATCAAATACACCTCCAAAAAGCTGAGTTGTTTATAGCGATTTTAAGAAAGTCTTTAGAAGCAATAGAAAATGAAGAAGTTGAACTATTATGCTTCAAAAAACTCACATCCCGATTCAGTGGCTTCTTCAGAGCTGTCGATAGCTCTTCTGAGGAAGATTTTTGTTATTTCTTTTACGTGTTGTTAAAAATTGTTTTGTTTATTTTGTTTGATAAAAGTGTTTCCTCACCTTCTTTTAAATAATAAAAAGTTTTGAATGTTACTTGATCCTTTCTCCAACCTCTCTCAAAAAAAAATGAAATATGCATTCACATATCTCCTTCTTGCACCACAATTTGTTTTTTTTACTATGATTTCACAATATATGGAAAAACTGACGTTTGCTCACATAACATTTTCATTCTTATTTATACAAATCAAAATCATCACTTTGAATACAAACATGAAATTAAAAAAGTTTTTTGCCTCAGGCTCCCATTCTTACACCACGCTCTTCAAATGCTCAAGCCGATTGAAATTATTTTAAGAAAATTATGTGTAACTAAAATCTCGCCGGGCCTAAGAGGCCCGGTTTATGCATCCTAGGGTTAAATAAGATTTTAACACATTTCATAATCATGTTAAAAAATTTAAAGTTTCCGCCTTGGTTTCTAACGCCATCTTGCGTTAATCATTCCAATTACATGAAAAACTAAAAAAAAGGTACGTTTCCACGCTTTTAATCACTTCTTATTTATATTTTATATCAGTAAGACACGGAGCTAAGCAACATTGGGTTATAAACGTTTCCGGTGAATGGCCATTCAAATGTCAACAGTTCACGACTGTTAATAACATATTCTTATCGAGTATGGGCGATAGAAGAGCCTCGTATGGTGAGCATAGGGGCTCACAAGCCATTGACAATCCCCCAAATTCAAGGCTATTTGTAATTTCCTCAAGACAACTTACCGAAGACGATTTCAAAGAAGCCTTCAATAAATTTGGTGAGATAGAAGAGGTTTGGGTGGTTAAAGATCGACAAACAGGCGAAAGAAAAGGTAAATAACTTTTTTCTAATTGTTTATTTTAAGGGTATATATTCCTTTTAGGGTACACTTATATAAAATTTTCTAAAACTTCTGAGGCAGCCAAAGCTTTGGAGGCTATGAATGGGAAGATTATTGGAAATACCGGAAGACATATCAAAGTTGTTATAGCTTCAAGGTAATTTATTATGATTCAAATAATTCAAATGATTTTGATTCAATATTTAGAAGGGATCAAGGGTCAAAACGGGAAGATAATGAAGATGAAAAAGCACAAAGGTTATTTATTTTAGTTCCTAAGACCATAACGGAGGAGGAACTGGAAGAACATTTTAAACAATTTGGTGATATTGATAATATAAGTATAATTCGTGATAGAGAAACTAAAGATAACAAGGGATTTGCTTATGTAAAATATTACAAGTTAGTTTTTTCATTAATTTCAACTTTTTTATTATTATTTTTATTAAAATTAATAATTTTTAGATTCTCCCATGCAGCTATAGCTTATGAAAATTGCGATAGAAAGTACAAAGCAGTATTTGCTGAACCTAAAACGAACAAACGCAGCTCCAGCACAAACGATTATCAAGAACCCCATTTAGAACCATACGAAAATTTAAGTAGAAACACTTCATCCAGTTCTTTACCACTTCCTGATTTGCCAAATGGAAGTGGTTGTTCAAAATTAATTGTTCTTACAAATCCCTCAGTGAATCAAGATCAACTTTGGAAATTATTTGATATAGTTCCAGGTCAATAAATCCAAACAGTTAATTACAATGATTTCAATTTAGTTTTTTTATTATAGGCATGGATTATTGTCAATTAAAAATGGAAGGGAGACCATATCCTGTAAGAGGAGTTGGAACAGTAGTTTATTCTCATCCATTATGGGCTGCTTTTGCTAAAGAAAAGCTACATGGGCTTGAATATCCCCCTGGATCTAGGTTAATAGTTAAATATGAAATTGATTGTGGTCGACAATTTCCTGATAGAGGAGGATTTGGTTATCAAAAACCTGGGGATGTTAAACAGCTCCAAGAAGCTATTATACATGCAACAGCTTTAATACATAATTCGGGGTTATCACCAGGTGCAATTATAACATTTTTTGTACTATATTATTATTTTTAAATTCATTTTTTGTTTAATTTTAGATGCAATACAAGCTAAACTTCTAATGAGAAATAATCCCATTGAAGAAGATGATTACGCTTTAGATTTACCGAATCCGCAACCTCTTTTACATGTTGATGATCCGGTTGCAGCAAGGTGATTACATCTACAAAAAAGAAATTCATAAATGTACTTAGTTTTTGTTTGTAGATGTTTTATAGTTTGTATGCCGACAGCCTTACCATTGCCAACACTTCGAGATCTTTTTTGTAGATTTGGAAATTTAATAGAAGTTTATATGTTGCAAAATAAAAATTGTGGATATGCTAAATATGGTAGAAAAGAATCCGCTGAAAATGCCATTAGAGTATGTTTTAAAACTTTTAATACATTTTATTTTTGTTATTAGGAAACCAAACTTTGCTAACGCCATCTAATTTTGATTTGATGAATGACAGATTGTGACTATGTTCAAGTCAAATCAATGTCATGTCAAGTTCGAGGTATTTTTCTTAAATTTTTATTTTGAGGTTCAAAATGAAATGTCGCAAATATAGTTGAATATACAGGGTGCCCATTATGTATGGAATAGAGTGTTTATCTTGGTATAGTTCATTTTTTTTCTATAATACCTGTCAAATTGTTGTAAAGTTGGCAAAATTAACAAGGACTTTTGTTTTATCATGTTTTGAAATAGATACGTCACACTGACGTTTGAGCTTTCGTTATTCCAAAAGAAAAGGTGCATAAAAAATGTTGTGGGGTGTTTATTTGCCATTTACTTACCTAGAAAAGGTGTTTTGTTCTATTTAATTACTTTTTAGCACGTTTTTACAATAAATATGTACTTCGTTAAAATCGTATTTATCTACAAATTTATTAGTATTTTAACCTCAACTATTTAGTTACTGAAAATGTTACTAAAAATCAGGAAAATAACGTAAATTTTATAAGGNGGTCCCTATGCAAGTGGAAATTGTTCACGGATACTTGATTCTAATGTAGTCTAGATCACTTGTGTAAAGTTTGGTTCGGATCTTTGACCGAATAAGGGCGGTAGAGCAAATTATAATCTACTGCGGGGTAGTTCACCCCCGCGGACCCTTTGCAAGTGGAATTTCTTTCGATAAATATATTTCTTATCATGTCTAGAAGGCGTATATAAAGTTTGGTGCGGATCTTCGAACCAATAAGGGAGCTGGAGCCAGTTATTAATTAAAATTGCTGATTGTACCTTGATATTAGTGATAAATATATTAATTACTTTTAATATACTGTAATTAACTTCTTAAGTTAATAATGTAATGTTTTTTTGTTCGAAAAAATTGAGCCGGTATTACGGACGTCTATGGGCGTTCGGGTATCATCGGAAATTTTTACTGCTATCTTTTACTGCTGTCTTCACACCGGTATCTTTTCCGGAATTAAAAGTTAAAAAAAAATATATAAATTCATATCCTGTCTGGCTAAACCCGAAACTAAAAGAAATGCGTGAGCGCCTAAATTTTTTAAATACTCTTTGCTTAGCTTCAGACTCGCCTGAATTGAAGACTAAAAGATCTGATTTCAGCAAATTATACAATCAGTATAATTGATCGAAAATTAGATATAATGACGCAATTTTGTCTGATGTGAGTTATTCTCCTAAAACAATGTGGGGCATAATCAACAATAATAGACCATCTAAAATATCGGTAATTAAAGCTGAATTTGATCCGGACGCTATAAATAATTACTTTATTAATCTACCAACTGAAATCATAAATTCACTTTCGAGTAACCACACAGGTACAAATAGCAAAATGTTCCAGCATAGAATCGATTAGATTAACACCATAGGATGTAACTTCGGTTTTCAGAAAGTATCTTTTATTCAGGTACGAGACATAATTGACAGTTTCAATTCTAAAAGCATTACTATCCGTGCAAAAAGTCAAGGCCCCTTACTTTAGAGATCGATATCTTCGATGGAAAAAATTGCGATAAAGTTTATTGTAATCAGTGAACATTTCTGCGTATCACATGTTAATTTGGAAATTTTCGGGTCCGCGGTTTTTCTTTTATCGCTAGTTAAGTGAAAAAAGTACCCGATTGTTGGGAGTGCCAGCAACTTTGTCTAATTTGCGATNTTCTCCTAAAACAATGTGGGGCATAATCAACAATAATAGACCATCTAAAATATCGGTAATTAAAGCTGAATTTGATCCGGACGCTATAAATAATTACTTTATTAATCTACCAACTGAAATCATAAATTTACTTTCGAGTAACCACATAGGTACAAATAGCAAAATGTTCCAGCAAAGAATCGATTAGATTAACACCATAGGATGTAACTTCGGTTTTTAGAAAGTATCTTTTATTCAGGTACGAGACATAATTGACAGTTTCAGTTCTAAAAGCATTACTATCCGTGCAAAAAGTCAAGGCAAAAAAGAAAAATTGCGATAAAGTTTATTGTAATCAGTGAACATTTCTGCGTATCACATGTTAATTTGGAAATTTTCGGGTCCGCGGTTTTTCTTTTATCGCTAGTTAAGTGAAAAAAGTACCCGATTGTTGGGAGTGCCAGCAACTTTGTCTAATTTGCGATTTTTTTTCTCCAAAACTATTTGACAAAAAAATCAAATTTGAACTGGTGGTAAACCGATGTGTTCTTAATAGGGGGCATATTTTACCTTTTCGATATTCCATATAATTTCGCGGTTTAATAGGATGCGGTTATTTCGAAAACGACCTGGCGGATTTCAAGAAATAAGCTATGCGGGGACTGGAGGGTTCCGCCCAATCGGAACAGATGGCGCGTCCCATACAGTACGTCGCGCCTTTATCTTACCTACATAAAGAAAAAAGGCGCGACGTCCTGTATCACCCCGCAGAGGTTATTTCTGTTTCTCTTCAATTTATAATTCCATTAAATCGCTCTTAAAAAATTAGGGAGCTCTAATTTTGAAAAACTGATAACGGAATCCGACAACCAACATTATTTGACATAGTTTGGTTTAATCCGCGAGGAAATCCACCAAGCCGTTTTCGACATAACGGCGTCTTACTAAACCGCGATTTTCCGCGAAATTGTATGGAATATGGAAAAAATAAAATATGTCACTCATTAAGAACACATCAGGCTACCACCTGTTCAAAATTCAAATTTTTTCGCACGATAGTTTTCGAGAAAAAGAAATCGCAAAGTTGCCGGTACCGTAAAAAATCGGATACTTTTTCAGTTTACTCGCGATAAAACTAAAACCGGGTAAATCCGAAAATTATCAAATTAACAAATGTTACGTGGAAATGTTCAGTGATTACAACAAACTTTGTCGTAATTTTTTTTATAGAGCGGTTGTGAAGATATAGATCTCTAAAGTGAGGGTCCTTGACTTTTTGCACGGATGGTAAGGATATACAGTGTCTCAGCGAGACCGGTCATTAGACGTTTCTGTGGTTCTGGCCAAAATAAAAAATTGAGAATTCAGACTTAAGTATTATCAATTACGTTCTCTTCGTCTAAAATATTTTCAGATTTCTAGCACTTCCGGTTATACCGGAAGTCGCCACCTACTTTATTTTTTTAAATGGAACACCCTGTATATTTTTACATATTTGGATTTGTCTGTTTTGAAGGTTTATAAATAACTTTACTTTTTGCAATTTGANTGGCGCGTCCCATACAGTACGTCGCGCCTTTATCTTACCTACATAAAGAAAAAAGGCGCGACGTCCTGTCTGGAACGCACCATCTGTTTCGATTAGACGGAACCCCCATCACCCCGCAGAGCTTATTTCTTGAAATCCGCCTGATAACGGAATCCGACAACCGACATTATTTGACATAGTTTGGTTTAATCCGCGAGGAAATCCACCAAGCCGTTTTCGACATAACGGCGTCTTACTAAACCGCGATTTTCCGCGAAATTGTATGGAATATGGAAAAAATAAAATATGCCACTCATTAAGAACACATCAGGCTACCACCTGTTCAAAATTCAAATTTTTTCGCACGATAGTTTTCGAGAAAAAGAAATCGCAAAGTTGCGGGTACCGTAAAAAATTGGATACTTTTTTCATTTTACTCGCGATAAAAGTAAAGCCGGGTAAATCCGAAAATTATCAAATTAACATATGTTACGTAGAAATGTTCAGTGATTACAACAAACTTTGTCGCAATTTTTTTTATCGAGCGGTTGCGAAGATATCGATCTCTAAAGTGAGGGGCCTTGACTTTTTGCACGGATGGTAAGGATATATATGGATTTAATATGGTGATTGTAAAGGATGTCAAAGACATTATAATCACACCTTTAACTAGGTTAATTAATATATGTACTGAAGAGAATATTTTTCCTGACGTTTTTAAGGCTGGTATGGTTATCCCTATTTATAAAAAATGCAATCCTGAGCTTATTCAAAATTTTCGACCAATACCGATACTCTCGAAGATCTTTGAAAGGGTTTTAAATATGCAAATCGCTAAATATTTTGAGGAGAACAACTTATTCACAACTTCACAGTTAAGATTTAGGCAGGGCATGGGCACTAGTGACGTAATATTAAATTTTGTGGAAATAGCTCTGTCCTGTTTTGAAAATGGTGAGTATATGACTGCCGTTTTTTGCGATCTTAGCAAGGCGTTTAATGCGTACAACATGATTTACTGTTACAAAAGTTAGGAAAATATAATTTTGAAACAGCCAGCCTTAACTTAATTAGATCATATCTCACCAACCGATCTCAAGCCGTTAAGTCTCAAGGAAGACTTTCAGAGAGAAAGAATCTTCTCTTTCTGATTTATGTTAATAATCTGGCAAGATAATATTGATAGTGGTCATATATGCTAACGACACTACATTGATAGCTAAAAGTAAAGATCTAGAAATTGCGACAGAGTTGGCAGATTCGGCGCAGGCAACTGCTAGGGATTGGTTTGAGCCGAATTTTCTCGCTTTCAATTGGGACAAGACGATCCCATCAACCTTTACACTACCTTAACGCTAATTTCTCGGGGTTAATATCGATCCCGCGTTGACCTGGGAGCTACAAACGACTACGGTGTGTGACAGGCTGAGTAGCAAAATTTGTTTGTACTTTTTATTTTTTCGCGTACTTTTCCCTGTGCCAGTCCGTAATGTCATATGCATTAATTGCATAGGGGGTGCTTCATCTTGTGATAGAGTTTTTCGACTACAAAGGCGTACAATACATATAATTATTGATGATTGAGAGTATCGCGAGGATTGTAAAAATTCTTTCGTATCTTTGAAAATCTTAACGTTCCCTTCCTTATACATATACCAGTGCATTTATATGTCAAAACCTACTCTCACCTGTTTGTCACTCATGATGATGTGCACCAATACCCCACAAGAA